GGGATCCTAGGAGATACTGGGGGAAAGGCTGTCAGGGGACTCAGGGAAATGGCTGTTTACTAAATAGTATACAAGTATTTTGATGTTTTAGCAACAGACATGCCCCTAGGAACACAGACCAGCTAAGTACTACCCCTGCTCTTGCCACTCCCACTACCTCTTTTTCTGGCTTAATTTTTCCTCCAGAACTTGCTTAGAGCAGGGGCTCTTAATCTTTTATGTGGGTGTCATGGACCTATTTGTTAGTTTGGTGAAGCATGTCTATTCCTCTAAGAATAATACTTTTAAAGACATAAAATACATAGGATAACAAAAAAATTTATTTATATTGGAATACAGTGATAACATTTAATGGCGAATTGTGATATAATAACTTATTAAAACTAGGTTCTAGAGGCAGAGCTAGTAACTGCCATAATTTCACAGTAGTGATGAGTATAAATTGTATTTAAGATATCTGCAGCAAATATAGGAGGATATAAAAGTAGCTACTGTTTCTATTGGTAACAAATCACTACTGTGGTTTGTTGCTCACATTTCTATAATCATAGAAAGAAATGCTAAATATCAGTTATAAGGTAGTAAAAATTAAGGTGTTGTTTTTCTTTCTCAGGTTCAAAAATTTCTTGAGTTCTGTTGACAGATGTTTTGGAGCTCCATGGATGCCAGGTTTTTTATTTAGTTTGGTCTATTTTAACAAATACAGATGCTCCTCGACTTACAATGGGGTTATATCCTAATAAACCCAGCATAAGTTGAAAACATTGTAACTTGAAAATGCATTTAAACACTCAACCTACCAAACGTCATGCTTAGGTTAGCCTACCTTAAACATGCACCGAACACTTACATCAGCCTACAGTTGGGAAAAATCATGTAGCACAAAGCCTATTTTACAATAAAGTATTGAATGTCTCATGTAATTTATTGAGTACTGCAGTACAGTTTTTACTGAATGCGTATCACTTTCATACCATTGCAAAGTTGAAAATTTTTAAGTGGGACCACTGTAAATCGAGAACCATCTGTACCATGGACTGGATGGCTTAAAAAAACAGACATTTATTTCTCACAGTTCTAGAGGCTAGAAGACCAAGATCAGGGTATCAGAGAGGCTGGCTTCTTGCTGATGCTTCTATTCCTGGTTAGGTCCTCACATGGCCTTTTTTTTTTTTTTTTTTTTTTTTCTGCTTGCATGCAGAGAAGGAGATCCTCTTTTTCTAAGGACACTAATTTCTTCATATGGCTTTACCCTCCTGATGTTATCTAAATCTGGTTTCCTCCCAAGACAACCACCTTCTAATACCATCACACTGGGGATAGGGCTTCAAGGTTTGAATTTTGGGAGGGCACAGACATTCCATCCATAACTTTGGGTGTAGCATCCTAGCTTAGATGATCCTTTTCTGCAAAGCCTTCTTTAATCATCTCTGCTCAGCTCCTCCCCATGGAAAGTATGCATTGCCTTTTTCGTGTATTCACAGCTCCAGAAACTTATTATCTCTTCATTTGTTTTTTCCTTATACTAGACCAAGAATCAGCAAGTATTTTCTGTAAAGGGCTAGATAGGAAATATTTTTGGCTTTGCAGTACATATGGCCTCTGTTGCAATTACTCAGTTCAGCCAGAGACAATATGTAAATGAATAGGCATGGCCGTGTTCCAGTAAGACTTTTATGGACACAGATTTATTTATGGACACCAAAATTTGTTTCATACAATTCTCATGTGTCACGAAATATGCTTCTTTTTAAGTTTTTCAGTGATTTAAAAATACAAAACCCATTCTTAGCCAGTAGACTCTACAAAAACAGACCATGGGCCAGATTTGGCATGGGTAATAGTTTGTCCACCTCTGTACTAGATCACAAGTTTCTTGAGGGCAGGGGCTGTGAGTTTGTTTTCTGTCCCTTAGATCTAGCACCAGTGTTTGCCATATTGGTATAAAATAAATATGAGCTGAATAAATATTTGAGTCTTTAAGTGCATTATACTTACATTTGCTTTCCCAATATTCTTCCAGAATGTGAATTGAACAACAGATGAATTCTTCAATAGGAGAACTGAAGCCAAATCCAGATTTGTGGTCTCTTAGTCTAGCACAATTTTATGGCTCCTTCCTCTGTAATCTTGGTTTCCCCTAAATGAAGGCCAACTGTTTCCTGTGTTGAAGTTGTTCTCAGTGCACTTAGAGGTCTCAGAGTAATGGGAGTTTATTTTCTACTGAGTGGGATGTGGGTTACCTTAACCTGAGAAAATGATTTCTGTTTCAGCAAAGAATTTTAGATATATACTTGAACAAAAAGGAAAATCCCTTCACAGCTCTGTCTCTGTTTCACACTCTTTAGACTTAAATGTCCAACAGTAATGATCATGAAAATCACAGGGATTTTATTTGTGAAATGCTTATTCCCTGCAGAGATTAACACATCACTTAAGATCAAAGGTAAATGAAGAGATATATTTTTGAATGGTCTCTGTAAGTTATGGAAGCAATAGATTTACACTTCAGCAGACTAGTTAAAAAGCAAGATGTTAATCACAACTCTAATATAACCATGTTTTTGATAATAAGGCAAGGTGATTATTAGTCATGCTTGTCCATCTGTAAAAAGCTGACTTGACTAATATATATGTTGGGCAAGGCTAAATATAAAAAAGGTTTTGCTATCATGCCCAAGGTCATGAACAAATTTGCAATTCCTTCAAGTCATGTTTATTGTCATGGAAAATATCTGAACTACAATTTTACCTAGAGACATTTTAATAGCCCATGTAAATAGGAACCAAAAAGTAAAATGAAATTATTGAATTCTGTCAATTTATTTTTAAAAGTCATTTTTTGACACATAGATAATGAAATTTGATATATTCAGTTTAGATATTTTAATGTAGCATCACACACTACCTACGCTTAAATTACTTTGTGGATTTTTTGCAGATGAACTTCATGTACATAAAGTTCATTAACAAATGTACCTAATGCCTACCAAATGAAATGCTGATTTCTAGTGGGGCAGCAGAGATTGTAAGAGATGAGACAGGGACTTTTCTCTAAAGGAATATATAAATTTATATAAGGAAACATGATACAGACCTAGGAGCGACATAACAATATTAATACATGCTAAGCACTAGGCAGAAGTACAGATAGAAAAAAGCAGCAATTCATAGGACAGGGGAGGGACCAGGTTCAATGCCTGGGCTTGAGGGGGAAACTCAGATTTAAAATGCTGCAGATAGCTTGTTTACAGTACACACATGTGCATGTGCATGCACTACCCCCAAACCATGCAGCAACACTGCAGAAATCTCAGCCATTTCAGTCTCTTTCCTTGGTAGAGTCCTGAGTTTATTTCCAGCTGTGCCCATGTTTATGTACTTTCCCTACTCAGTTACCCTTTGTCTACCTCTTTTGTAGCTCAACTCCTCCCATTTTTAAAGATCCCACTTCTTGTTATAACTCTTAGGAATCCTTTCCTGATTTTTCAGGTTCTTTGTGGCTATATCATCTAGTCTTGCTGTTTGTCCCAAGTAAAAGGGTATTGTGGAAAAAGCCTGGAGGCAGCAGATGAATTAGAATCTGGCAGAAGGATACCTGCACTACCTTTGTTTTTGATGAAGTGTCATTTGTAAAAAACATTTAGAATGGAGCCATGCACACACAAGTTCTGGATGCTTTGTTCTATTTCTACCTAAGTGAGCATGTTTTGTTTTTCTTTAATATAGAGTTGGCCAAGGGAGAAGTCAGTCATATTCTAGTTTTGTAGTTTAAATTTTGCAAGAAAAAAATAGGTACGATTTAAAGATAGGGTTTACTCTGGAGTACAGGATTCCTCTTATCTTCCTTTTCCTCTGTTTCTTTGTGTGTTACTACTTCTAGCTCCTCTCCACAAGGCACACACATGTCCTAATTCCTCTGATAACTTTTTTTTCCGTCCTTCAGTCCCAAATGTTAATCCATCGCATTCACTGGGCTTACTCTTGAGAACTGTGAAGCAGAGAGAATTGCATTCTTCTGTCATTTTATGTTTGGCTCAATTAACTATATTCTGGCCCTATTCAAAGATCTTCCTCAGATCACACACCCTCTAATACATACATTTTTTTTTTTTTTAGTGCATTTGCTAACTTAAAATATTTTCTGTCATGACAATATGAAAATGTATATGAATGTAAAGAGAAAAATCTCTCATATGCCATCATACCAATATAATCACCAAAAATTTTAATGTGCTCTTTGAAAACATAAGTTTATCATAATAGAATGTTCTGTTATATACTGTAACATTTGTCTTTTTCTTAAACTTCTCTTAGTCATGTGCTTAACAGATAAAATGATTGAGTTGTGGGATATTCAGCTTCAACATTTAATTATGCACTGTCAAAAGATGGTACATTAAGAGAAGAAATTAAAATTCAACAAACATGTCTAATAAAACTACCATGTGGCAACTTTGGGCACAGATTTTAATTTGTAAAACAAGCTTTGTGTGGAAATCATTGTGTAATGATTATTTCTATTATGTAAATTCTCCCCTAAGCCTGAAAAATGAAATTTTACCTCTACTTTTTATAATTAAAATATGGTCATATGAGTCATTAACACCATGCTGGGTAATTACCAGGCTCTATTATTACTTGTGAACCTCTTTTTTTCTTCACGCTATTTTCTTCATGTATAGCTTTGAATTTCTAAATACTTTCTGTGTGTGCTTATACACTGTCAACCCCTAAGAGACATAAGAGCAAGGGTAATAGGAATCCTTCTAGTAGATAATAATGCTAGTATGGAAAATTGCGAACTACATTTTGCCTGTAAACATACTGGACTTTTTAATGAAATAGGACAGAATCATGATATTTGCTTTAAATGTGTGTTAAAAGTTCATCATTTTCATACTTCTCATAAATAACTCATCTCATTTGCAGGATGTTGTTCACAGTTGAAATTCTCTAATTAATTTTTCCCTGTTTGTTTCTCTTTTATTTTTCTCCAGCTCTTGTAAATGTGAAGCTCTGGGCCATTGATCGACAATGTTTTCAAACAATAATGATGAGGACAGGACTCATCAAGCATACCGAGTATATGGAATTTTTAAAAAGGTAAGATGCTTTCTTTTCTCTTGTGAGACTGTTTGCTTTCCTTTTAGCCCTGTTATCTGAAATGCAGAACTCTAAAGACTTTGCCTTTCTCTCAATCATAATAGTCTACAAATCTGTGGAGATGTGATGTAAGACTTTGAACAAGTTTCTTTATATTTCTGGTGTCAGTTTACATGACAAATGGTTAAGTCAGAACTTCAGAGTTTCATCACATATATTCAGCCATTTTCTCATAGAAGTGAGCAACTCAGAGAAACAAATGTGCTTGAACAAAAAATGAATATTGAATTCATCTCCAACTATTTATTGGTTAATGTATTTATGACACCTCTTCTAAATAGACTCACAGTGTCAGGCTGAGTCATCTCTTGTGTGAGTTTCCATATGAAAAGTCAGATAATTAAGATGGAAGAGTTCTAAGAAATAGCTTATTATCCTTTAATCCTGAGCTTAATTTCCCAAATAAAATTCATTATATGCTATAGTTCTGAAATATCAAAAGCTTTTCTTTCCTTTATATTATATATTATCATGATAACTCAATATAGGATGGAAATTAGAATAGAAACCAGCTTTTTATTTCTTAGGAATACATTGATATTCACTGAAATGAATTTCTTTGTCTATAAGTTTATTCTAAAGAAAATATATTATCTTATAATTGAAAAGAATACTGACAGTTCTCATGACTTTTTAAAAAGCACTTATTTTTAAAATTTCCTTTGAAAACAGAACCATTATTAAATAGTAATACACACATTAGATGAGCCTGTAATGAGTATACTGCTAATTAAGATTTCTTTTTGATAACATATTTAACTTTTTTTTTTGGTTTTTGTTTTTGGCAAATAGATTGTTAAAATGAAGCTAAAAAGTCAAATTCACATTTTGTTTTAGTGATACGTTTTAGTAAGTATCTACTGAATTTTCCCAAGATGCAATTTTTGATATTCCTTACTTGAATATTTCTTGTGGTTCATTTATTTTTCTTTTGCTTCATCTTTTATACATTGTTTATTTCCATATAAGTCATTTTATATTCATGCTAAAGGATAATACAGTTCTAATTTGATGTCAAGTAATAATATATTGAAAAATTACTGTCAGCAGGGTACTGATTTTTTTTTCTCAATGTGATTGGATGAAACACTTAGAAGAGGTTGAAATTCAATATAGTTTTCAAGGAAATTAAATTATTCAGGTGTCTTCTATATTGGGTGAGATACATATGTATATATGTGTTACATATGTATCTGTACATATGTTGTGTGTATGTGTGTATATGATGAAAGATAGAGACAGAGAGAATGAATATTCATTTCAAGCCTTAAAGTTCAAGAGTTATTGATTTCTTCTGGTGCAGCTCTGATAAAGATCACAACTGGTAATCAATGAAAGGCTTACCTATAGAATACAGTCCATTATTCATCTCACAGACTTAAACGTTGGACACTTATGATGTTGATTTTAGCTTCCATAAGTTTGTTTTTCCAAGAAAATGGATTGAGTGCCAATGCTATCTGAAATGCATCTAACAACAACTCTTTCTAGCGGCACTATTTCAGGAGATGGAGGTGTCTCCCTCTGTGTGTGTGTACCTGTGTATGTGTTTATGTGTTCAAATTCAAATCTTAAGCAATAAAATTGGCTCTCCAAAGTAAGTGAACATTTTTTGTTGGTCAGAATAGAGCTAGCAGAGTTTAACTGGCTGAATATAAAAGAAGTGAATGCTGACTTGGATGTTACTTTCCATCTGGCTACTCCATAAAGCATCAAGTTCACATTGTTTGTGAACATAGGACTGGGCTTGGAGTCCAGAGAGGTGACACGATGACCATCATTGCCTGAGGCCAGCTTTAATCTTCCTAAATTACAACTGTGACCAACTATTTCTCTCTACAATTTTTTCAATGGCTCTCACAGTTCCTGTTGCATTATTTACAGCCTCATTAGCTGGACATTCAAGGCCCTCCTGAAGCCAAAACCAGCAAGATTTTTCAGCCTGGATTCTTCTCACTTCCTGCAAACCAAACAATTCCATGTACCCATGCCTTCCCTGTGCTTTTTCACAGCACACTCTTTCTCTTCCTGCCCCTCTCCTTCATCACTGTCAGTGTTTAAGTCCTTCTCTGCTTTTTGGATCCCACTATAAGCTGCCTTTCCACAGATACTTACTTCATTACACTGAGAAGTCACCTCTTCCCTCTTCTGGAGCTTCATCTCTGCCACTTGTTTTATTGTCTGCTTTGTTTTATTGTAATTTGACCACTAAATTTATTTCTACTTCTGGACTATAAGCTTTTTAGGACTAGGGTTATTTCTTAAATATCTTTGTATTCCTCTTTGGCACAAAACTTACCGCTTTGTAGATATATAGGCATTTTGTAGAACAGTGAGTACAGGGCCAAGTGCATAACTTCAGGACTCATTGCAGAATGAAAATGCAAAAAAAATGAAAATGGAAAAATCAATTTCTTTCAAAAATTGATTAAAAAAATTAAAGATGTTGACAGCACAGCATTAATCATGCATAGGGACCTTTTAAGTGCAGACTTCTGTACAAGACACATCCATGAAGCCATGTAGCAGTGGAAAGGGTACCATCCCTTTCTTCTCCATCATAAGGGTCATGGCTATAATGCCTATATAAAAAGAAAGGTTAACAGGAGAAGAGCATTATAGATGTATTTAATTAAACTTTTAGATGACATGGTAGCCTTCTGAATGAAATCCTAACAATACTAGGGAAAACTGCATATTTATTCTTAGGTTTAATCAAGAATGGGCAACCATAGAATTGTGATTGAACAAAAGGGGTGGGCTTTAATGTTAGTGGCCTCAGTGAGGAAACCTAGCAAGGCCTGTCCAGATTCTTCTTAGCTTCTCTGTGGTAGCATTTCTTCCTTCCATGTATGAGGTAGGACTCCTTTGGAATGAGAATCTTAATTTCTTTCTGACAGCTGTCACACAGAAAAACGGGAGAAGGTTAGAGTAATATTTTTAGGCTTTATGGATGGCTTTTGGGAAAAAGGAATCTGTCTCTATGATCTATGATCTGCTTTGGGGGAAGAGGAATTTTAGTCTATGGCTTGCCTCAGGGGAGAATGAGAAGCCAGAGACAGGAGGCGGGAGAATGAGAAGCCAGAGATAGGAGGCAGGAGAAGGTCAGAGAGAAAGGACTTCTGAGGCCTTCCCTTCTGGGTGTCTTTTTCTGAGCTCCCGGAGCTAAAAGAGTGAATAATATTCACCCCTCCTTCACCTTCCCAGGTTAGCTATTCTTGGCACCATTTGTTTCGCAAGGCTATTAGGAGATGGCGTAATAGCCCCAATGATAGATACTATCAGAAGACCAAAATTAATTAATTCTTTTACTATAACTTCAGAATTATTCTTATCTCCCTGTTTGTTGTTGGTTTTAAAATATTTGGTTGTCTCTCTTTTACATCATATAAAACTTCAAAGATTTTTTTATAGTCAAGTCAATCCATTTTTTATGACTTCAGCCAGGTGTAGTGGCTCATGCCTGTAATCCCAGCACCTTAAGAGGCTGAAGTGGGTAGATTATTTGAGCTCAGGAATTTGAAACCAGCTTGGTCAACATGGTGCAACCCCATCTCCACAAAAAAATAGAAAAATAGAAAAATTACCAGGTGTGGTGACATATGCCTGTGGTCCCAGCAACTCAGGAGGCTGAGGTGGAAGGATTGCTTGGGCTTGGTAAGTCAAAGCTGCAGTGAGCTGAAATCCCGCTGCTGCACTGCAGCCTGGGCAACAGAGAGAGACCCTGTCTCAAAAAACAAAAACAAAAATATGACTACATATATAGGAAGACTTACTTAACCTTATAAAAATATTGACTTTTAAAGCAATCTGTGAAGAGGGGGATTTTTTTTTCTATGTCTAAATAATATTTGCATCTAAATTTTTCTACTATAGATATCATATACTTTATACTTTGTGAACGAGTTAAAGGGGTAAAGCAATGGTGATGCTATCAGAAAAATGCAAACTCTAGCAAAGGATCATGCAAATTATCAGAATTCTTCTCGGTGGGGGTTTCTGTTGTACATCCCAGTGCCTTCCCAACTGAGGAATTTCAGGAGCTGCCACAGGCTAAAAGATGAGTGACCCTCTATCATTGCTTATCTTGTGATGCCACTGTTTCTCCTCATTTTTCTGAATAAGCACATAAGTTTCGAAGAGGAGAAATGGGACACACCAGGCATATAAATGCACTGCTAATAGGTAAGAGTTTTTCTTTATTGTCAAAGTTGGGTTTTATTTTTATTCCCTTATATTTACCCATTTTGTAATTCCCAGTCATGTGGATTGGCCCCTTCTTTGCTATTAGATGCCATATCAAACTGTGATTCTGGCTCTTTAATTCTATTTAGTCATTTCTCTTTTGTGCCCGTATTTCAGATTCCCTGATGTAAACACAGATGTTCCTATGCAGATCATAGGGGAGAAAAAAAAGGTATTCAAAGGACAGTGCTACTAAGCATGGCATGATTACTATAGGTCCAACCATGATTTTGCCAGTTGCCAGGATTTTCTGTTCTCTTTGGCTACTAAATAATACTGTTGTTTTTAAGACAGATTCTGAAAAATGAGCCAAATAACTGCCAGAGTTAATTTGTGTTGCTTTTCTCTGAGCATATTCTCTGTTGCTGCTGTTGGGAATGGTATTTATACCCAGAGGAGCACTAGTATGTAGCTGTGTAACCATTGGGGTGAAGTTGTAGGTGTGGTTGTGGGCCCCGATTTATATCACTTGCTCCTTTGACAAATCGGAGAGATGACAGGGGCTTTTTGGGATTTAAGCCTACACAGTAGATCCTGTTGACCCTCAGAAAATATTTGCTTTATCTACTTGGTAAGACAGATGTGTTCATGTCATCCTTCCTATATTAAACCTTTCCACATCTTCCCATCACTCCTAGCAGAAAGCCTACCTAGTTCTTACCATTGTCTTCCAAGCCCTTTCCTATAGGATATTC